AATAATGAGTCACTTTTGGCCATTTTCACTTCAGCTCACTTCCAAGGATATTTTGATATTGGCAGCTGTGATGACTGCCATCATATTCTCTCCAAATAAAGGAGCAGGTTAGCTGGTATTCCTTAGCTGTTAACAAGGAAAGATAATTTAATGATTGTCAAGATGGGGCAGCAGTTTTTGGTTATCACATGCAATGTTTTTATTTTTGGAAAACCATCCATGTTTTAGTAACACATCAACAGGAATTTATGTAATTAGTGCACAAAGTCAGAAATAAAAGTTAATCTGGAGTTTCCCTTAAGGTGAAAATCAGAGAATAAATAGTTCATGTTCATAGGTGCTGAAACATTAAGATAAATGACACGTGCACACATGCGCACACCTAACGACACTGCACAGACAGATAGCATTGTATTAAAAACAACGGAGGCGGCACTCAACCTGGCTAAGAGATTTGAGGTTTTGATTAAAACAAGGCAATTTGTCATTGTCAGACTAAAGGGAAGGGAGAGAGTGGTGTTATGAAAATGTCATTAAATCTCTGTAGTTTTGATGAATTATTGATTTGATATGAATCTAGGTGGTGGAGTTTTGCTGTGTTTTTGTTCAACCAATTAATGGCATTGCTGGTCCCCATAGCAAAAACGCTGTTTAGGCTGTGTGCAAGGGAGGAGAAGCTTTTTCAATATTGGTATTTGGCCCTGAAAATATCTCAGCCTTTTGCTGCTATTTATTGGTTTTGCTCCAAAGGATTTATTACACTTTTAATAATAGCCTGAAAGCACAAACAGCCCCCACCCCACAACCACTTTGTGTCTTGAATTAGACACGAAGTCATGAAAAAATTATTGTTGCTGCTGATGGTTGCTCAGTCCCTGATGAAATATTTGTAAGAATGAAATCTACAGCAGCGCTTCTCCTTCAGGCTCAGACCTAAAAGAATCATATACTGCAATTAAATTAGTTTAATCTCTAGATATTTTAATGGCTTGTTTGAATCTGTATTCATTGCATATAAATGTTGTCGCATATGTTCTATAAACAACAAAAGCCGAGAAAACCAGACTCTGTTAAATTAAGATCTCTGGGCTTCAGGAGGTTGGTTAATTGCATCTTCAGTATTTCACAAATGGTCTCAGCTTCAAAGTGCTGTTTTACTAAATTCAAATGTATTATTTTATAGTAGATAAATGTGGTTTAATAATCAACATACGTGAGATAATTAGATACACATAACAAACGTGAACAATGCAGTGCTCACACTCCCTGGACACTTCATTGGATATGCCAAACTGTTATTGGGTAAGATCCCCTTTTGCCCTTTAGAACTGCTTTAATTCTTCACAACACAGATTCAACAAGGTGCTGGAATCATTCCTCAGAGATTTTTGTCCATGTTGACATGACAGCATCACACAGTTGCTGCAGATTTGTCAGCAACACATCCATGATGCAAATCTTTCATTCTATCGTTTTCCAGTCTGCTCTGCTGGATTGAGAGCTGGTGACTGTGGAACACAGTGAACTCATTGTCATGTTCATAAAAACCAGTCTGAGATGATTAGAGCTTTGTGACATGGTGTTTTATCCTGCTGGAAGTCACTATTAGAAAAATGATAAACAATACTCAGGCAGCCTGTGGCATTTAAACAATGCTCAGTTGGTGCTAAGGGACCCTAAGTGTGCCAAGTAAATATCCTCCACAGCTTTACAACATCGCCATCAGCCTGAATTGTATGATACAAGGCAGAGTTGCTCCATGCTTTTGTGATGTTTAAGCCAAAATCTGACACAACTACCTGATTGTGCCTCCAAAAATGGTCTTCTTTAAGGCCCATTAAGGTTTATTTTATTGTGCAGAGAACAGAGATGGTATTCTGCATATAACAATTGGTTATTCTAGTTACTGTTACCTTCCTATCAACTTGAAGCAGTCTTGCTTCTCCTCTGACCTCTGAGCCAGAAAACTGCTGCTCACTGAATATTTTCTCTTTTTCTGGCCATTCGCTGTAAACCCTGGAGATGGTTGTGTGGGGAAATCCCAGTAGATTAGCAGTTTCTGAAATACTCAGACAGCCTGTCTAGCACCAGCAACCATGCCATGTACAAAGTCACTTAAATCTTTCTTCCCCATTGTGATGCTCAGTTTGAACTTCAGCACGTCATCTTGACTATCGCTTCATGCCTAAATTTTAATGAACGCGATGTGATTGGCTGATTAGATATTTGCTTAAACCATTTGAGCAGCAGGTGTACCTAATTAATATCTAATTGCGTAAATAAATTAAATCAAAGGAAGAGTGGACTTCTACATGTTTACTTACTCATAGTTACGAGGTATAAATAATAATGTTATATATGAAGCTTTAATAGTGTAATACTTGAGTATTTAGTCTTTAGCAGCTGTCCTGTGATTTTTAACTGCACGAAGACACCAATTTATTTATTATTTTGAAGTTTGTCTTTTCATTTATTTGATAAATCAAGAGAGTTTGGTGCGAAGTGGAAGTGGGTCAGAAGAGAGCTGCTCATTGACCATGTATTTGAGAATGGACATCTACTTTTCAGCAGACCTGTACTTATTTCTTGATGGACTGGCTCACGATGCACCTGCTCTTAAGTTATGTTGTACAAGACATCTAAACAGCTATAGGGAAATTATAGGGTCCTTATATTTTTTTGACGCTGAAACACGTTTCGCATTTTAGCTCTAACTTAAATGTATTTGTTGTGTTGCTAACTGCATTAACAGTTGGGGAAATAAAGCTATTTTTATATGCAGTCTCTCTTTTTTTATAGGCAGTGTAATTGGATAGCTGACTCAAAAGCTGTTTCTCAGACAGGTGCTGACTGTTCCTTCATCAGTTGAGCATAAATTAAGCCGTTAAGAGGTCTGTAGATGATTCAAAGTGTGTTTATTTGTTCTGAGAGGTGTTTTTGTTAATCAACATGTGGTCAGAGGAGACCTCAGTGCAAAGCAGAACAATGTGGAGTGGCCAAATTAGCAATTTAGCATATTTTGAGGGGAAAAAAATATGGGTGATCAGAGCAACATAAAAAGACAGCAACAGAAACAAAACAGTGATCTTTTCAATGGTATGTACGCCATTATTCAAGTCTGTCATAAACGAAAATACAGAAAGTTCACTAAACTAATGACTGCTCTCCCTAGCAGAAAAGACAGATCAGACTTTCCAAAAAGACAAAGCTGAAAATAGGGGAGCTGTTTAATAATGGCTGTAATTCCTTAGCCTCTCCAACTGAAGCTGAGAGTCTGCACTTTAAACTTTTAAATTATGCCTGCGTTCAATAATATATAGACCGAACTGCACTAAGTTTATTTCTTTAAATGCACTGAAGGTACTTTGAGTTATCTGATTAAAGGGTTACACTTCCAGTTTTGAGTGAAACTGCTTTTTCCCTGTGGAAGCTTCTTTGAATAGAAGCAAATGAATGCGATGTAATGATATTCCTGTATCGCTTAAGTCGCAGATGTGCACACCCACACAGTAATCAGAAATCCTGAGGATGGATCAGATTTCTGTGCGTAACAGTATCCCTGTTTCTTTTTGAGAAAACTGGTACACACATTCTGCTTTCTCCAAACCAGCTCAGACGTGTGAAATGAGCACAGCAAGTTTTGAAAAGCTGCCTACAGAAACGGCTGCTGTGTTTGCATCAACCATACTGCTGATGCAAACACAGCTCCCATGTCTACTGATTTTCTTTAAAGTGTGTTGATTTTTCCGTACCAGCAGCAAAATTCACACATAATATTTATTATTAGTATTATCATTACTACTAATAATGGCTAGACAGCCTTCAGAAGTCTGGAAATCATATTGTCTGGATTTGCCAGGATTTTTTTAAATGAGGTGTTACAGATTTATTATTCAAAAAGCAGAATTGCAGAAAAAAAGAGTACTTAGATTTTTTTATTTAAATAATTATTGTATTAAAAATGCACAGATTGTATAATTAAAATATATTTAAAGTACATGAAGTAAACATGCTCCTTTTCAGAATCATATACATGATATCATTGGAGCATCATTTTTGATTAAATACGTTAAAGAGTGAACATCTCTTTAATGTTGCAGCTGTTGATGATTTTAATTGCTGATTGGTAGGTAGCTTGATCTATAACTATGCAATTAATCTTAAAAAAACAACAACAACAAAAGCAAAAGGAAGCATAACATGTGAATGTTTTTTTTTTTTAAAAGAGCATGTACATTAAACAAGTACTTAAGTAAATGTATTCAGTTACATTCTTACTGCTTCTACCCATGCTCTCATCTAATGTTGTTGGGGGACTAACAAAGCTCTAGTCTGGTGGTTTTAGTGTGATGGGTTCATCCGCATAAATGTCAGAGCCATGGTTTGCAGCACAATATCGCACTTTAATGAGATTATCAGTGTTGTACACTTCACCTGTCAGTGGTTTTAATGTTGTAGCTGTGTGTGTATGTCCAGTACACCCTTCTCATATAGGTGGTGTACTGTGCGCTCCTGCATGACATCTGCCACACGGCTGACCTGCGAGCTACGCTGTCACTTGCTGTCCACCTCCAAACCCAGCATCCACTTGTTGCCTCTGAATCAACCTTCCTCTAGGGGCAAACTTAGCATATGTTCTTAACCCCTGCTGTGCTGTGTTTTGTGCTCCCACAAGTCACCATATCATTCTTCAGTGGATGTCACATTGCTCTAACTGCTGTCAGGAAGGCTGCCATATAAAACACGCCGCCTGATGCCCACAGGATTTTTTTTAATAAGACACAAGATCTTGTCTCCTGTCTTCATTTGACTCAAATGCAAGAAAATCTAGTCTGCTGTGGCTCAAGTATTCGATTTTGGACAAGAGAGGTTCAAATTGTAGCCATCATTGGTCTACCATGTAAAAAAAAAAAGGAGGGGGGGTATCAGAAGGTTTTTTTGATCAATAAAAACCTTAAACAGTTAATAGCCTTAATTCAAGAAATACCAGCGTCACTCACCCCATTGACAGGATAAGTCTTCCAGTCCAGTTCTCCCAGTACCGTTGTGGTGTCCAACAGAACCACTAGATAGGGCAGAGTGGTGAAAAAAAAAGAAAAGGTCTCGTAAAATGAAGGAGAAAAGTTAGAAGTGAAAGAACAACAGCATAGATGCAAAGAATGACAGGATAGAGCAAAAAGAGAAAGAGAGCGAGTGTGTGAGAGAGGTTGGACGGTGAATTTAAAAAGAAGAGAAATGGAGGTGACAAAACAGGAAGAGAGCAGACAATAGTTATCAAGCTGTCAATGAGGAGCTGACAGAAGTGTAAGGCCCTTATCAAATTCAACCACCTATGAAATAACAGCTCTTAGGAAAGTCCAGCGCAACACCAACACAAATCTGCTCTCTACCTCGCTGAAGTCTGGAAAAATTAGTACTCTCCTTCTCAGAGGTCAGAGCCAAAGAGGAATAAAGGGGACAGGTGGAAGTATTATCAAACTTTATTTAACTCAACAAAACAATAATTAAGATTAAAATTGTAATAGTTAAAAAACTACTTCAAGAGATATATGGTCAGTGTGGGATCATTTATGAATTGTTCAGTAACATGTTATAACATTATCCTACTGCATTACGTTTTAAGTGTGATGATCTACTAAACGGGACAGGCAAAAAAAAAAAAAAAAGAATTCTTAAAAATGTGGAAGAAGCTCCTTTAAGCAATTACTTTGATGTTCCTCCACCTATAAGAAATGACAGAAGGAGTCCGAACCGCAAAAGAAGCACGTATTCTCGGAAAAGTGGTTGCAGGAGGTGAGCTGGCTTCAAACAAATGATGAATGCACAGAGATGTGGTGCAGAATGTGCCGTGAAAATCCCACTCTAGCGGACAAAAACAGTGCCTTTTATGTGTATGCAACTTCTTATCTGGTGCGCGTCTTTTATTTTGACAGCGAATGCGCACATGTGGACCACTTATGTGCACCCCTGTTTATTAAAGCCCTCAGAGCTCAGCTGCTGGGTCGCTCTCCTCGTTGTGACACATTTTTGATGCTTTCCAGTTTGGTTTTGTACACCAAACAACATTGCATACAACAGGGATGTCAAACATTTTACACTGTTAGCCAAATACTTTGATGTTAAGTGGGCCAGACGAGTGAAACTCACCTTTGTGTCGGTGCAACAATGTTTAACGACACATTTATTCCCTGAGATATCTTATTATGAGTGAAAGAAGTGCAATTTCAACAGCATGTCAGTTTGTCTACATGATAAAGACATGTTCCTGTAATAAATGGAAAACATCTGTCAGCATGACTCTTTGGGCGGAAACAATAGGAAATTACTGTGTAAAATTAGTTCTATTAGCTCATTGGACAGACTGTCCTGTAATCATAAGTAAACATCCTGTTTTTGTTTTTTTTTTCTTTTTTTGGTTTGTTGGTTTTACTGTGGATTCATTGTAAAAAGAAATAAAAAATAATAATAATAATTTCAAAACATTCTCAAGTAAATAGTGAAAAAACAGGAACTTTTATGCCATTTACTTGTTCATCTGTTGGTTTTTGTAGTATAACTGAGTTTGAGGGAGGTCTTTATCTGTCAAATGCTGTAAAACTTACAACAATACAGTCAAAAGTCCAAAACTTTTTATCATCCTTGTTCCAAAGCCCTCCAGTGGGCTGGATTGGAGTCTTTGCTGGGATACTGACCCTCAAGCCTTATGTGTGACACTCCTGGCACACACCATTTCTCCACCCATGGACTCATGTGGACTACTGATTGCTGATTACACAGGTCCTTTCTCTTTTTAATTAATTTAAAATACTTTTTTTTCCTAAAATGGCATTCCTGCCTTTGTAGTGTATGGATTAGTGTCCTCTTCATGCACCTCCTTGTTTAAAAAAAAACAAAAAAACGCAGAATTTGTGTATAAGTTGTGAACACGTTAAAAATCTGAAGAGTTTTGGTGCTTGATAGGACAAGTGGCAGGATCCCCGTGATTTCACGCTGAAAGGCACTCACATTCCCTTCACAGTGTGCTTCCATACTTCCAATGCGGTGCCCATTAATTTCTTCTTAGGCAATATTTGACAACGTTCACAGGTGTAATGTATTCAGTGATGGTGACCCATGGCAGCACGGAGAGCTCTTGCTATAAAAATAGCACGGTAAAACAGAAACAACATTTTATCTCATTTCTGCAAGTCTTTACAACAGTTCCCCCCCTCCAGTCAAGAGCATTAATCAATGAAATCCCATCTATGGCTGTGACATCATCTCTGTGAGTGCACAGTCACAGCGCCTACCCACAGGCGCACTCACTCTCTATTGTGAGTGAAAAAGAAAGAGATAAAGCCCACCTCCGACACAGTGTGTTTGTTCATTTAGCTGTGATCACATGCAAAAATGTTAGCAGTATGACGTCAGGTCAGTCCCTTTGCTCCTTTGCACATCCATTATGGAGTCACGCCAAGAGTTTATGCTCTAATAGCTAATCTGACTCAGCGACCATTTGAAAAGACAAAAGCACGGAGCAGTCTGATTTCAGCATTAGTGTTAGTGGTGGTGTTTTTGCATGAGCATGTTAACAACAGTTTATTTGTGTGAATCCACGGCTGCATTGTGTATACAGATGTAGCAATCCCTCGCTGTCTGCACTCTGGTCACGGCTCAGGCATGAAGAGAGCCATTATCTGGCCCTTGCTAAGCCCCCTGAGCCAATTTGATATGATGAATGTGCAATTTCCTTTGTCTCCACACAGCCAGTTAATTACAATCTCTATCAATAAAGTATGTCCCACTTCAGTGGTCGACATTATAGACCAAAGAGTCACATCTTCAGACGACCTGTCACTCTAGTGTACGGCGGACTTTGCCAAATCTGGACTAATTTAATGGGGTTGTGACTGTTTTGAGAACAAGTTAGATAACCAGAGTAGATACACTTTGAGGGAGACTTAATGAACCACTTTAGTATTTACAGAGACTTCATTTAGCCTTGATTCCCAGCTGGTAATTAAGGTCTGAATTATAATAAGGTGGCCTTGCCTCTGTTCAAAAGGAGGACATAGAGAGATGTAGGGAGGGAGCCTGTGAGACAGACCAAGGGAGACAGAAAGATATTGATTTGGACCAGTCTTTGATGATCATGAGCAATGTTCCACGGCACGTTTGGCAGCACAAAATTTTCCAGTAACTCCCTTCTCTGTCCCAAAAAGTTGATTCTGTTCAGCTGGACGCAGCGTTTTCAGTGGGAGAAAAGTTTCGTCACTCATCCAAGTGACTTCTTCAGGCTCAGCTGACTGCAGTCCCTTCTCTGTCTGTCTCTCCTTCTGTTACACATATACATAAAGCCAAGCGCACACACAAACATACATGCATAGCAATGTGGGAATGAAACTATTAACTTCCACAACTATCTTTTGAGCCAGGAAATAATGGTCCAAGACCACAGTGGAGGCAATTTGATACACCGTTTTTGTTTTTCACGCAAGCACAATTACACTGGTAATCACTTATCAGGAGTCCAAATCACATTAGCTTTGTCTGTGCATTGCTTTAGAAGCATAATAACCTGAAGCTGGGGTTTTTTTTGGTTTTTTTAAAAAAGGTTCTGCACTATCGGATTATTGCAGAGGCACACTTTGGGAGATGTACGGTGTGGCTCTGCAAAGCTTTTGGGACAAATCTCACTGCAACATAATGAAAGGGTTTGATGGCTTACAAGAGCTGTCCCTATTTGAAGGCAGGCTGTTTTGAGTATGTTCTGTAATTTTAACCATTATGTTGATTGGTTACATTTCCTTTCATCGGCCAATGAAACCTTTGCAACTGGAACTGCCATTCCTGTAACCAGCTATTCATACCAAGGTAAAGGCCTGTATATCATCAGACAGGACATTCAACAATATTCTCCTTCTGAAATCAGAAACATGCTCTAATATTTCTGTATGCTGTAACGCTTTTTTATGCCATAGCAGATGGTCTGAACGGGATCAAAGGTGTGATCGGGGACTTCTGCTTCTAACAGTAAAACAATATCCTGTGTAATGATCTCCTGTGTCCTTCCTTTACCCGAGACACGTTGGGTGTCTGCACATTACAGGAGTTATGTTGCAGGCTGTTTCATATCAGAGGTTTCCTGCGGAGTTCAGAAGTGCCATGGGGCTGTTTTTCCGAGAGTCGGTCCTTGTTTTAAAAAGGCGATGTGATGCACATTCCTTTCAGTGGTTTCCCAGTCTTTCACTAATCTACAGGTGACAGTAACGCAACAAGACACGACTAACGATGACAAAGGCAGGGGAGAAGAACACTTCAAGCTCATGAATTTTTGAAAGAGGCTTTGCAATTGCTTGATAAGTAAGGAAATACGCATTTACCATTTTCTCACTTAACTGTCTGCACCTTCCTTTGAAGATTTCCATTTACAAGAATATCATCCTACACTTTTATGTTGTAAAGAACTAAAGAACCTCTGTTGCTTAGCCTTCTTTGACCTCTGATTCTTGTTGTCTAGTAAGTGCACAGACCAGAAGGGTTTGGGTTTTTTTGTTTTGTTTTTGAAAGCCTAATGCAGAGACAAACTGTGTTTTAAGTAGTAGTTTGCAGAATATGTCTGTGCATACATGCATGCGTGCATATGTGTGTGTGCATGCGTGTGTGTGTGTGTGTGTGTGTGTACTCGCAGGTGGTTCATTAACACTATCTAGACACTGAGTAGTCAGGATCCCTAAATATTTTAGGATATGTATATAAGGTATGAGGATAAGGATACTCCACAAGGCTGAGCTCCACCAGGGTGACAGACAGTTCTATAAGGACCCCTGGCTTTTTTTTTTAAGTTTCCTGGATGTGGTTAGAGAAAGCCACTGGGGAAAAAAATGAATCATTATTTTCTATGAGATGATAATAAAAGTGGACAGCAGCATCTAATTCATCTGACTCTGAGCACAGATGATGCAGGTTCCTGAAAAAGTCATTCCAGCGTCTGTCTAAATGTTACTGCTGATCAGATGAAATGATCCCATAGAAAGGACGACGTGTCAGATACCTGCTTCGTAAAATACAAAGCAGATCAGTGGA